TGCTGATGCTGCTACTGCTACTGCTGCTACTCCTACTGCTACAACTGCTACAGCTGCTACAACTGCTACTGCTACTGCTACTGCTACTGCTACTGCTACTACTACTACTACTACTACTACTACTACTACTCCTGCTGCTGCTGCTGCTGCTGCTGCTGCTGCTGCTCCTGCTGCTACACGCACGACTGCTACTACTACTAGCACTACCACCACGACCACTACCATTGGAACTGCTACTACTGGCCACTGGCACCGGCCTCGGGTTTATCGTATTTCTGGATCTTGCCATCGACGTCAAAGAGCCACATGTTGGTGGTGCTGATGTCTGCCACAGGTGCAGGACAGCATTACTACACTGGCCGAAGGCTGTCCGACTACCTGGCGAGCTTACCGCAGCACAAACATACACAAAGAACAAGTGCAAAGACGTCTCTTTCCTGGGAGAAATCGGCGTGCAGCGTCTGAAGGTGACTCTGTGACTCTGTGCCCGGCAGGCGGCCAGTCAAACAGAGGTGGTCCCGAGCCGTGCACAGCAGATTATAGGAGGATGTGCCGTCGCCTGGAGCTGGGTCACTCTTTCTGCTTTACATCGCGGCAGCGCTGCCGCAGGCACTGATAAATCGTGGCAACGAGCCCCAATGTTGCGAGCAGCGCAGGTAGTTTCGAAACCGGCCCGTCTTCCTGCACAATACGACAAGAGTCAGCAACATTCAGCAACTTAGTTGACACAGAGAGTTGTGAGTCCGCAAGTGCATGACTTTGTTCAACGACTTGGTGGACCTGGATGCCTGGCCTCATCACGCTCTGGCGGCGGAGTCACTGCCTCCCAAGTCGGATCCGGCAGTGCACCAACCCAGACATCGGGACTGACGAATTGTGGATTTGAGTGCTGTGTGGCCTTGTCCAGGGCTTCTTCCATCACAACCTCTCCGACGACGCTTGGCGCCCGCAACTTTGGCGACGCCACAGCACGCTCAGCAGACACGCGAACCTGATACTCCAAGTGTCTCCAGAGAGAGAGCGCTCCCTTTTGTTCCCTCGCTTGGGCCCAGAACCTGCCGCGCAGCTTGGTGGATGGCTCCGCGGACATTGGAAACCTGGGCAGAGACGGTAGTGTCTGGATTGGGCTGACGGGCAACTCAAATCAACACAACAAAATTCAAGCCAAGCATTACAATCATCACAAGTGAACTAAACCAGGCGCTATCGTTCCAAGATTTGCGTCACCAGGGGAGACGAAGCGAAGCACGCCTCCGGAACCTTGCGATGTACAAAAGTAGTTGAGCAAGGCTCCAACTGAGCGCCGGAACTCCAAACACATCAACCTTACGCCCTATACGCCCTCACGTTCCCTCCATTGCATCTTCAAACATGTGGCTCAGCTCGGAGTAGGCAATGGTTCCAGGCAGCAGCCGGGAATGCCACAGAACTTCCTCAGCGCCAACTTCTAGAGGCGACAGTGACACCTAACACTGTGCTATGTGCGACTCAAACGGTCTGCCACTGGCCATACTGCACCAGACAAAGGATCCTTGACCACCGGCGAGACCTCGACTGCGCTCGGGGCCTCGATCGTGATGTCCAGCTCATGGAGCCTGTCCGGAGATTTCCGCACAAGGAAGTGTCGTTACCTCTTCGCCGAACCTCACTCGCTTGAAGAGTGGAACTGCTCCCAGCACGTAGTTCTCGGTGACGCCAGGGGCCTCAGATAGCAGGATTTCCCATGCCATCCGATGCAGAAGCCCTGCTTTCGTAGAAGCATGACAGTATATGACAGTGAACTCTTACCAAGATGGAAGGTGGCTAGCGGCTTACAAATCAAAATGCCAATTAATTGTGACGAGACGGAGCACGGTAGTGGCGATGCTGGTTAAGTCGTGTGGCGCTTGACCGCCTCGTATTCCCAGCATTAAGCTTCAGACAGTGTTGAGGGTATTCTTGTCAAGGCAGTTTTCCAGAAAGGCTGTCAGTGCGGAGACAATCAGCGAGGGCTTTCGGGAGGATCGTGGAATGTTGGTGTTGAGATCTTGAGTCATGTGCTTCTGTTCGGAAGTGCTTCAGTGTCTTTTGGTTTCTGCAGAGCCTCGGAAAACTCCGAAAACGTAGCTCGGAATAATCCGCAGGGAATCCGCAGGTTGTCGCTTTCACCACTTGGGGAAGAGCAAGCATCCACATACCAAGTTCTGATCCGTAAATAACCGCCAGTCCACAGCCTGGCAGTCCTAGACACCAAACCCACAAACGTTTTACGAATGTTCCTCCCATCAAATTTGAAAAGGGTGCGCATTTCAGAACAAACTTTTTCGGATAACTTACTCCTCGAAACCTGAGGCTCAGTCGGTAATTAGAAACGAGGTTCGACAGTCAGCAAGAAGCTACAGCAGCTACATAAATGCCATCAAGCATCCGGATCGTACAGTCCCAGCGCACTCAGCACATACCAGGATCCCATCTCTCCATTGTCTTCATCACCCGCGTAGCCTTCTGGCGAGTACGCACGTGTGAGGATCTGCCGAACCTTACACGGATGGAGGAGCGCAACAAGACCGTAAAAGTTTGCAGACTTCTTCAAGGGGCTTTGGTAGGGGGTTGCAGGTGCTGAGAGGGTGTAGCGTAGCGGACTCAATTCGTTAGTCTGTGCAGCAGTGCATACAGGTGCGGGCAACAAAATGACACCGCGTGCAAGGTGATTTGATTTGACTTGCGGCTCGAAGCACGAGCTTCGCAGTGGTGTTGTGGTCACCGAGCATAGCGAAAAGATACCTTGATTGCATATTCTGGGCAGCCTCACCCTCGGAACCATCACTTTCTGGTCAAGGCTCGGCAAATGGTGAGCTGGCTGGTTGTTGTGGGCGTATTGTCCTGGCTCACACCGGGAGCGTTGTAAGAATCAGGTAAAGGCACTGCGCATGCGCCGAGCCGCCCATGCCAAGCATTCGCATCTCCCGCATCTCATGGATTTCGTTCTCACAGGGATCCGATTTTCAGCTCGGACGACCATGAACGCACAACGGCTTCTAATGCCCCCAGCGGCCGATTGAAGCAGCGTAACAGCCAACAGCATGTTAAGCACCGCAATCCAAAGCCACCGCGTCCTTGTAGGAACCAGTTTTGAAGTTGGCTGGGACCGTGAAAAGCTCATCTAGCTTTTGAGTGAGCTTGTCTCGGCCGCCATGCAACTCCTTGACAAATCAATGCCACAACAGTTCAAATTGACTGAGAGGTCCCCCGACCTTGCGCGAAATGCCTTTGCCTCCAACTTGAGGTCAAGATGCCATTAGCGTGTCAAGGTCGAACGGTGGAAACGAATGATGCCACGCCGAGCCCTCGAAACACAAGGCCGATACAAGTCTGCAGAATGCGAAGCCATGCAACACATGCAAAAGTGACCATATGTGCAGGCAGTCAGGCAAGCAAGCACGCGCGCAATCATGGATGGTTGCAATTGTGACGCTGCATACCTGCACGATGCGTTCATGCGCGCATGCCTACATGGACGCACCCACACACAAACAAACAAACAAACAAACAAACAAACAAAGAAAGAAACAAATGAACGAACGAACGAGAGACAAACGAACGTACCGACCTACCTACCCATCTCTCGGCCTGCCTGCCGGCCTGCTTACCTACCCACCTACCTACTTACCGACCTACCTGGCCTACCGTCCTGGAAGGAGCGCCAAAACGCAAACCAGCGGAATGCTTTGGAATAAGAGCCAAGCGAAGATTTTCTTCAGAAAAATACCTAGTTTTGTTGTGGGAAAACTACCATCCATGCCGTGCCCTGAGTCAACAAAACACTAACTACGCATAATCTCACAATCTCACATGTTCAGGAACAACGCTTAACATTCGCTCGTCATTCGTGCTTTGTCCGTGGAAGGATGTGCAGACTCCGAAGCAAAGGCCGGAGTCGAGAGGATTGGCCGGATCCTTATCGGCATTGCCCAATGGCACGAGATCAAGCCATGTGCTGCGTTGTGGTTTGGTGGCACAAAGAATGGAACTGCCCGGCCTACCAAGTGTACGCGGGGCGCTGACGCGATCACGAGCTTCAACAGGCTCAGCCGCTTCCCAGAGGCTTTGGGCCGCGTCAAGCAGGGAGACGGCAAAATCTCGACCTGTCTTCGGGGCTTCAAGCGGAGAACGGCACGTACCGTCGAGAAGGCAGCATGGAGTGCCGGGGTCAACGCCCTTTGCCGCTCATGCTGCCGCTCCTTCAGGGCATTAAGGCCCCCGGTGCCGATACGACCATAGATGCCCTGCTCGAGGAAATTAAGCATACCATATGGCTTGGAGGCCAAGCCGGAGGGGAAAGAACCCTCGCCCTCGGCCTGGGAAAGCAAGCTCTCAACCTTCTCCTGCAGCCGAGTTCGTACCCAAAAGAGCACGGAACGTTGCTGCTGCAGTGGAGCAAAGTCCAAACCAGACCCAGGAAAGTTTCCTGGGTACTCATAACCTGCCGCTTCTCCTCGGCAAACGGGGACCCCTGCATCTCATTGACTTCGCCAAAGGCTTGCTGGCCGGCACCTTTCGCCGACGCCAAGTCGGTGAGGTGGGCATCATCAAAGTACATCGACACCATAGTGCATAATGTTGCTGCGTTGATGTCACTTACTAGAGGATTTGGAACGTCTCGCCCATCATCTGATTCATGTTGGCTTGTTTTCCCTTCGGGCCTGGGTTTACTGGGAGTGGATCCCTCGCAGAGCCAACTGGTCCGACTCCATCAGTCGTTTAGGGGAGGATGCTCCCTCAAGTGCGGCTAATGGCTTCGTGCTTAGCCACTCGGCTTTGCCCTCGGAAATGCGGTCTCTTCCTTTGGTGCTGCCATGCTGGTTTACCAGTTCTTGTAGAAGTGAAAGCAGTAGCCTTAAGGATGCGATTAACGAATGAGAAACAGGTGTCGACTTGGCAGGCTTGGGTGCACATGTATCATTTGTTATCGTTCGTCCTGCCCTTTTGGTTCAAGCCGTGGCAGTTGAGCCAGAAAGGCAGGTTGCCCACCCGCCCACCCTTGTTCTGAGAGGATCCCCCCTGGGGTTATCCTCTTTTTGGGTGTGGCAGCGAGTGTTTACTCGACTGCATCCGGTAGGGCGGTAGGGAAATTAAACCGTGATAATTTCAGGGCAGTACCGGAGGAGCCCTGGGAAGTGACCCAGGGTGTCCGGCAGAATGCCTATCCGGATGTGTTACCGAAGCACTTCCTGTGAGTATGTACACAGGTTCTATGATGACATGGCGGTGCACCGTGAAGGGGAAACACCAGTGCGAGTGCAAGCAGTAGCCTTAAGGATGCGATTAACGAATGAGAAACCGTAA